CCGAAACCGGAGTTTCCAGGCCCTGAAGGCCGATGGGTGCCCCGGCAGAGGGCCTGGGCGGTCGCGTCGCTCGTTGAAGGCCCTGCGCCCGGCGCGGCAGCCGGCCGTCCCCGCCTGCAGGTTTTCCGAGGGATCCGCTCCCGCAGCGGCGGGGCGCGGGGGCCGGCGCGGTGGGGCCGGGGGACACCGGAACGCACGGAGCTGGGGGCGTCTGGGGCGGGGACGTGGAGGGGCCTCATCGGGCGGCGGAGATGGGCAGCGGCCAAGTGTCCGGCAGCCCCGACCCCCGCCACCCTCCTGGGCCGCGCGAGTGGCACCGCAGAGACAGGAGGGGGTGGGCGAGGAGGGTTTGCTCGGCCTCGAAGGGCCCGGCTCTAGGGCGAGCCCGTGGGCGAGGGTGGCCGCGCGGGGGGAGCCCGGGACGGACGGGTTGGTGGAGCTGCCCGACTTAGGGTGTCCGGGGAGGATGGCTGTGAATCAAGTCGGTTCTGGGCCGACGAAACACTAACGACTGCGCAAAGCTCCCCCCCTCCCCTTTCCCCCTTTGGCGGAGCCTGCAGGGAGGACTGCGGGGTTCGTGGGCCGGTTTGCGGGGACGAGGCTGCCCCGCCTTCAGCCCCTGTGCCGCACCTCGCCTTCCCCGGCCTGGGGACTGACCGGGGTGTGACCTGGCCCCCGCCTCCGCCCGCAGGATCGGGACCGCACACTGCGGACCGCGGGCCGGCGTCTCCAGCACCGCGCTGTCGTCTCGGCCGGACCGCCAGGCCGGATGGGGACAGAGACGGTGTATTCCCCCGTGGGGTGGGGTGGGAGGGAGCAGGGGAGAAGCTCCAGCTCGCGGTGTCGCGGACGGATCGGGCCCTGCCCTGCCCGGGAAGAGCGAGGCTCCGCAGCGGACGGGCAGCCGGGTTCGGGGTTTCCCGAGCAGAGACCGGTAGTCAGTCGGGCGCTGGGAGGCCAGGGCTGGTGGCGAGGGTAGGGAAGCAGCAGCTGGGCCTAGGAAGTTACAGACGACGGGGCTCACACCGTCCCCGTGCCGCCCTCAAAGTCGGGGGGCTTCCGGCCCTCTGCGGTTATTGGTGAGCACCCCATCCTCCCGGACATAACTCCCCGCATCGACCGCGGGCGCCTCGCGCGGATCGGCCGCGGGCGCCTCTCGAGGACAGCCCGGCCTGCGCGGGAGGGAGGTGCGGGCGGAGAGGCGCCCCTCCCAGGGTCTCCTGCCTGTCACATCTGCACTTATTTAAAGCTCGGCTGGTGGTCTGCACTCTGGAATGCCGATTGCGGGCCTGGCCTCCTACGACATTTGCATTGATTAGCTAGCCGGTCAAGGGGGAGGCCAAGGCGGGGGAGGTGGGAGGCTTTGGGGAGACCGGAGGTTCACAATGTTCTTCTGCCTGACCCTGTTCCACAAGCTACCCCGCAGTCGGGCGATTCCCACGTACCAGATGGCTGAGTGTGTCGGGGAACAGAGAACCCAACTTCCAGAACATTCGATGTGTGTAAAGACGGGCCACTGCTGTTAACATGTACATTGTGGTCCACTGCACACACAGCCCTAAATCTCTGAAGGCTGCAAGGCCGAATCTGCCAGAGAAGGCGGACAATGACTGGGATTTGCAGCTTCGTCAGCGCACAACTCAAAAAAGGTCCGCTGGTGCAAGTCCATAAAAGGAGATTGACTTTTCTTGCTTAAAAATATTATGCACAGAGAGGGAAAGAAACCCCACCACGCGTAACCTGCACAGGTGGAGTCCCGCCCCAAGAGGCCTGGGTGCAGATTCATGGGTGAAGAACCAGCTGTGTTCCCATTTAATGTGACTCCCTCAAATGCTGGGGTGGGAGACAAAGGGGGGCTTTTTTTGTTCCATAAACCTGGAAAAGTTGGGTCTGATTTGGCATGTGCCTTTGTTATAATCGAGGGTGAAAATAAGGCCCCTCTGTATTTCTGTTCCCCTTTGCTTTCTGCGAAATCTTAACCCCAGCGAAGAGTTGTTTTGGTAATCTGGAAAAGAGAAACCATGTGCTGAGTCAGCAAAGACAGGGCACCAGGCCAGTTCAGTTCAATAATACTGTTATGTGTAATGTACACACTATATGCTTTTGTGGAAATAATGAAAAATATATTGGAATTTTCATGGCATAGAAATGCCCACAAAGCCTGTTGGCAGTTGACAACCAGATTAAACGCTGTGTCTTCTAATGTAAGAAATATGTTCTGAACATGTCTTCTAACAAGCATTAGACCTAACTCCATTTAGTGTGAGAGAGAAATACAAGTCTCAAAACAACACAAAGTATTTTTTTTTCCAAATGGTTGCATTGCACAATGTTTAAACATTCCTTTCTGCTGTGTTCTTGTGACAAATGCTCAAGGTGGTTCTAGTAGACGCAGTCTTAGTTTCCACGTTGAGTCATTAAAAGCATTTCTCAAAAATGCATCTTTAAAAGGTCACAAATGTTTTGCAAATCATGTTAGGTAACCTGTTGATCATGCATTCTCATTTGCATGCAAGGAATAAATGTAGTTACAGAGAGTCACTTGGAATGAAACTCATTGCTCGAGCGGTTAAACAACTATTTTTGAGACTGATTTCTCTTCACTGCCCAAGTCTTACCTGAATTTGCAGAATCTGAGCATTTCAACTGTTGAGCAACAATCTAAGTCATTGTATTTTTAGTGACAGGATTTCATAATTCTTTTAATCCTTATACCTGTGTTTAAAAATGTGTGGCTTTAAAAAAAACAAAACACTAGCATATGGCATAAAGAATCAACCAACAGTTTGTTTCTATTTCATTCACTTTTTCTATCTCAAAACTGAAATGAAGTTGGTATAACTTTTATGCTTTTACTTTTTAAATTCCTAAAAATATAGCTGACTTCTTTAAGTTGTTTCAGCATAATGCAAAAACATCTGGATGTGAAGTGAAAAATTCAGTCTGTCACCCAGGTTCCAGATGTTTGGTACTACTTAGACAAAACATCAGGATGAATGACTAAAACTTTTCTGTCCAATCCAAATGGGTAAGTGCCTGGTGCTCCTATAAGGAAACATACTTTCCTTCCTCTAAACATCACATCCCACTGCATCCTACATAAGGCATGATTTACACTCTTCATTGACAAAATGCTGGGCCATTTGGAGTGCAGCAAAGCAACCAGTTAAATGAAACTCTAAGTATATGCTTTGGGAAATGCAGTCCAAGTACGAGTGTTAGTGTGTACTCAGGAGGGGGTATCAGAGGCAGAAATGGGAAGGTAGGAGAGAGAGAGAGAGAGCCTTGTTCAATGGAAGGATGACTTGACTAAAAGGATGAAGCCTTCTAAGAATCTATCTGCAGCATCCCATACTCTTAAATAGGCAAAGTCGTATCATTTAGCAGCAGCTTGAATCAGGCTGCCTTTTGCTTGGATTGCAACTGGACTGTGGAATATCACTGTATCCTCTGAAACCCTCTTTTCCCATTATCCTTCTTGGAGCATTGTAAAATAAAACAAATAAGTGTAATAGAACATTAACACATGTTTAGGACTTAATAGCATCCTACAGGTGGAAAAATTCTCTATTTGAAAAGTAAGTATATTAATATACGGTAAATATTTTAATCTTTAAAAAAACTTAGTGACAATGAATAGATTTCTCTTCGTGTGAAATGTCACCGTAACTTTAGAGTTGTTACGCTTTGGGATAAAGACACAGGCAACATTTTTTTCCTTCCCCAAAGTCAGAGAGATTTAAGGTTGCTAGCAGAATCTGAGCTTTTCCAAGTCCCTTTGCCTTGGCCATGTTAAGAAAGAACGAACAGATATGAGAGGCCTTCCATTAGATTCAGCAGATGAAATCAAACCCAAAATGAATTCCATTCTACTTATTAACCTCATACACTCACTGGATTATAGAAGAGTGTTTAGATAATGAACGGCAATAAATGTTAAAACATCATAAAATCTGAGCACTTAACAATTGCTGTAAGAAAAACATACCATTTTAAATAGACCTTCTTACAACTCAGAATCTGAAACTCAGATAATAAGACACAGGATTCCATACTGGCCCCAAATCAATTTTAAAAAATAGTTTACAGGGATCTTAGTAGAGTTTCAGGGATACACTTATTGAGTCATTAAGAAACTCAAAAGTCAAAAGGGAATCTTTAACACCATATAAAACAGAATCACAGTTTTTTTCCTTGATTGCTATAATTGGGATGTTTTTGTGACTTTTGTGATTCATTTATTAGCATAATAAAACCACAAAATTGGAAAGGACTTAGAGCTCATCCAGGTCTCCTTTCTCCTTTTCTAGATGAGTCAACTGGGGACCAAAATTAAAGGACCTACCCAAGGTCACACATTAGTTAAGAGGAAGGGTCGGGACTGGAACTGCTGAGTTCCAGTGGTGACTCACAGAGTCCAAGGCTCGTTCCAGGACAGCTTGCCTTGGAATCATTACAGCACTGCTCAGTCACAGATTTCTGAGTAGTGTCCAAGAAACTGACACCCATC